ATTATATATATATATATATATATATATATATATGTTTATAATAAATTATTGAAGACAAATGTGAACTGTTTAATTTACATTATATGTAATTTATTTTGGTATAACGTCTTGCAAATATAGTATTCACTTCAACATAATTAACATAATTAAATATTCTAAAATGTGTAATTATAGATAAATCATGTATAAAAAATGAATATACGCCATTTGTAAATTTATGATACTTTATTGAATACATTAAATGTTTAATACATTCGTTACAATACTGTTTTCTTAACAGTATATTTAACACTATGTAATGCAGCCATGGATTATGTAACCATTATTATTGCAATAATTAACACATGATTATAATAAAAATTGTAATTTGATTATAGTTATTTGCTTATTAAATTGTGAAGTACACTTTGCTATTGTGATATAAATTACTTGCAGTAAAATTTTTCTTTAAAATTCTAAATGAAATTATGTAAAGATATGTTTATTAAAGAATACTTTAAATATGACCTACAAATAATTCCTAATGTGTATTTTATTACCCATTATACCAACACATATCATCATATTTATATAACTGATGTGTTAAATAATTTAATGTCTAACTTCTTATAATATTATTTTTTCCGTAAGCATTCCGAATATTATTAAGTAATGCATCAAATGTACATTTTTTTTAAATAATCTCATATTAATTATGTATATATAATTAATAAATAATATAGTATAAATAATTATACATTTAATTGTATATAATTCAGACCTGTGTAAAACTTAGCTTGCGAGCTAAACGCTTCTCCTATATCGTCTCGAGTTAAACGGAAAAAAAAATCTGGTCCAGCGTTTATCTTTTTTTAACTTCTATCTCGCTCAAAATGAAAAAGGAGAAACATTGAGCTCTCATGAACCAAGTTTTGGACAGATCTGAATTGTGTATTATATAATTGTATTTATTTATTATTATGAAAAATATATATTCTCCAACAAAAAAATTTTACATAGATCTAAATGTTGGCTAGTTTTCTCGATAACAATGACAGCTATAACTCGACGCGTAAGATTTTTCTCGTAAGTGTTATCAAGAAAAATCAAGATAGTTCTGTGGTATTTTGCCATATGTTACAATTTCCAAGATAATGACCTTTTTTGTCTAGATTTGTGCATAATTATTAGAGATTGATTTAATCATTTTTATGGATAGATATTTAATTTTTCGTATATATAAATCATTTAGTATTTTCCTAAAAACTAAATTGTAGGTACACAGAGAAAATAATATCGCAAGAAATTAGGCATGAATTTAATTAAATCTTTTTTAATCATGTGACTCAATATGTATATTTATATTTTGATAGACGACAAAACCATGTAATAACTTTCATTACATTTATTATATTTAAGAAGGTAAATTGCAAAGTATTACGCCAAAAAAAAAATACAAGATTGTCAGCATGGGTAAATAATACAAGTAGCAGTGTCATCAAATCACTAGAACAATTATTGATATTTTATGATAAAGATCAAATAAAAAAACCTATGTATAACATACATTATCTTTTGAAAAGTATATTGAAATGTAAGATATTTACTTTAACCAATTGCCATTAAATCCTGCTTACTAACATCTTCCGGATAAGTTAAGTTATATAATGCCAGTAATGCTGCTTTAGCTGCTGCTTTCTTCGCATCCTTTTTGTTTTTAGCTGGAATAAATATAAAAATTATTATTTATGTATTAATGATAACAACAATAGTTCATAATAATTCGCAGAATATATACATACCTGTTCCTGAATATTCGATCCCACAAATTTCAACAGCTAGAGTAAACATCGTATTCGGTGGATTACCAACACGGCTGAGCTCTGTATATGTTAGTCCAGGTCTCATTTGATTTAGTAACATAACTGGATGTATATTAGTAGGATTGGGTGGAAGTTCCTTTTGAGTAGAAGTTTTAGGATTAGGACTTTCTTTCTTAATTCCTTTTGCATTTGGTAAACCAGGTCGTGGGACTGGAACTGATGTTCCTTGATTATGCCATTCAAGAAAGAGTTTATAAAGAGCAAAACTGGCCAATGAACTCCATGGAATTTCATCTTCAGAATTTGTATCCATAGTGATGCTGCTATCATCATTATTTTCTTCTTTTATTTCATCCATAGATGTATTAGTAGTTTGTCCATCTGATTCAGCATCTAGACGTGCTTTCATAGATGCTGCTGTCATTTTTTCAAGTAATAAAGCTTTTAATGCATTTTCAGCTGCATTTTGGCGAGCAAGTGGTTTAGATAACCCTTGCCCAACGTAAGTTTTACCATCAAGCTATAAATAAATGTTATTAAAGCATTTTAAAGATGAGATTTACATCGTATTACACATTAAGCATATTATAAGTAACATTTCTCTTTTGTAAGAATCAGAAGAAAATGTAAATTAAAGTAATAAAATAATTACCTCAGCATGAACAAGATAAAGCGAGTTCGGCATGGGTCCTTGTGTTTCAGGGAATGTAAATTGGACTCCAGCTTTCATTTCGTTTAATACCATGATTGCATTTTTAGGTTGTAGAGTTTTCCTTAGACGTTGATTCATACGAAGACGTTTTAATTTTTTATTTACTTTAACTATAAAAATTGTTACATTAGTAATATATGTACATATAATATAATATAAATAATTAAAATTTAATTTACGTATCAGTAAACAACTTCACATTGATTACAGGAGTCTATGTTCAAGTATAATTGATCAAGATCATTCAATGCTCCCGAATCTTCAAATTTGCGCAGTGAAATGTCATCACCAATTAATTTCATAAGATAGAGTAGGGCTTTTCCATCAATTTCGACTTTCAATTTCGAAAATCTACGGTAGCAAATAATATCTCTTTGTTGTGACATGTTTATGGCCCTGCGCACATTAGAAGGAATAAGGAATAAAGAATAAACAATTTTAACCCATCAGAAATGGGATACATTGGAATACACGGTTTCTGATAGGTTGAAATCGTTTATTCTTTATTCCTAATTCCTTATTCCTTCTATTGTGCGCTGGACCTATAATTACATTACACAATCATGATTGAGAGCACAAGCACAACCTTTAAATAACACATGTGCTGTCTAGAAATATA